GGCGGTATCTTATTCTGCTCCCTTAATTTGCAGTCTATAACATAAGCGCTGATTACTCTCTTTGTATCAAATATAGTTGCAGCAGGTTACTTGATTTGTTTTAGGGGTACAGAAAGTTAAATGACATCACAGGATTCCTTCTTTGTTAAGAAAGTATTAGAGATGTGTAGTTGTTATCTTGTCTCTTTCTACAGAAAGAATGTCATTCCTTAGGGCTTCAAAAGGTGTTCTGATTCATGTTGCCACTATAACTTGAACTATTGAAATACCTAAGATCAAGATAAGGTTCAAGAAAAAAAAATGTTTCAAGATCAGGAACTGAGATTTGTCATGCCAAATCTCCCTTTGTTTCAAACAAGGCTACAGCCCTTCCATAAAAGCATCGAGTTAGTTGATATTATTTCAGGCAACATTATAGTCCATACCACATAGATAGAGAGTTGACATTATTTTGCATTTTTATTTAAGAAACTGAACTATTTCTTTTCTTGGATTAGATGACAAGTAGAGGCTAATGATCAATACTATTTATAACATAACACCTCTAGTTGATTCCCACCTGTAAAGAAACGTTGTGCTGTCTTATTTGTCCTTGAGAAAGAACAAGATAACATATAGTTTGATTAGTTTTAGTCATTTCTGTTCTTACGAAACCTTCATCTAAAATTATGGAAGTTTGATGCTCACTTTTTTTTTTGTTCATGCTCTCAATAAATATCCTGAGAGTTCTGCTTAGAAACAATTTCTTTCAACTGTATGACATAAATGATAACATGTAACCTTTTGAATAGTGTGCATCCCTGTTGTTGCCTCTCGATATTTGTCATTTTCTTTATGCGTTTCACAATGCACCTTCAATATGAATTTGACTGGTAAGCCAAATATGGCTACATGGAGTTGCCTAAATTTGTTAAAATAAATCAGGAAAAGGTAATGTCTAGACTGCAAACAATCTGTCACTAGCATGCGTGTGCAACGCATCTGCATAATTAGTTAGTAGCAAACTGATGGCTAGTCTACTTGCCATTGTTTTTCCAGGCTGTGTAATCCAACAGTATGGTTGTGGCTGGCTATCATGGTTTTGAGTCTCACTGACTGAATGTTAGGTGGATCTACTGTTAATTTTCTGGGATTTTTCCTGTTATCTCTCACAAATCACATGACAAACATAAGGGAAAAAAGCAATATATGAAACCAAGTGTGCTTTTTACCTAACGCTACGCTTTATTAACATAAGAACCAACTGCTACGGTACATTCTGGCACAGGCTTCCAAGTCCCTATTCAGCTTTTGGCGTCCAAAACCGGACCTTTTGCTAATCGCCACATGGGCAAAATGAAATTGTTATTGACCTTTTATATTTCTTGACTTGAATTGCCTTTATGTGGGTGTCATACTAAGAGTTTACCATCCTTCCCCAGATGTGCATTCTAATCTTCATCGGTAACAATGGTGAGACATACTTCAACACTGCTGCACTTGTCTCATGTGTTCAGAACTTCCCCAAGAGCCGTGGACCAATTGTGGGTATCCTCAAAGGATTCGCTGGATTAAGTGGTGCAATTCTAACGCAGATTTATGCAATTGTACACTCTCCTGATGATGCTGCACTGATCTTCATGGTTGCAGTTGGCCCAACAATGGTTGTTATAGCTTTAATGTTCATTGTAAGACCTGTTGGAGGCCACAGACAAGTGCGGCCTTCTGATGGCACAAGTTTCACATTTGTATACAGCCTCTGCTTGCTCTTGGCCACTTATCTTATGGGTGTCATGTTATTGGAAGACCTTGTCGACTTAAGCCAGTCAGTGACTGTCTTGTTGACCATCATTCTAATAATCTTTTTATTAGTTCCAATAGTCATCCCAGTTCTACTCAGCTTCTTTTCGGATGATGATGAGACTTTCTATGCACTATTATTGCCATCACCTCGGAAAGAAGAACCAACTGCACCAACATCTTCTGAGGAGCAACAGGAGGTTATACTCAGCGAGGTGGAGGATGAAAAGCCAAAGGACGTTGATTTACTTCCAGCCTCAGAGAGGCAAAAAAGGATAGCAGAATTGCAGACAAGGTTATTTCAGGCAGCTGCTGTTGGTGCTGTCAGGGTTAAGAGGAGGAAAGGGTTAAGAGGAGGAAAGGTCCACGGAGAGGAGAGGATTTCACACTGATGCAAGCGCTCATCAAGGCAGATTTCTGGCTTCTATTTTTCTCTCTTCTGCTGGGCTCTGGATCTGGTCTCACTGTGATTGATAATCTTGGGCAAATGAGCCAGTCATTGGGTTATGAGGAAACCCACATTTTTGTGTCAATGATTAGCATCTGGAACTTTCTTGGACGTATTGGTGGAGGGTACTTCTCAGAGATTATTGTCAAGTAAGATTGTTATGCTTCTTTGCTGAATAGAATTTATTTCGCATGCCATTTTATAAATATTTTGTTTTCAAATGTTTTTTGGCAGCATAGTCACCTTCCATGTTGACCTATGTTTTTACTCCATCCGTTCCAAAATGTAGGGTGTTTTAGTTTTTCCCTAAGTCAAACTTCTGTAACTTTGACAAAGTTTATAGAAAAATGCATCACCATCTAAAACATCAAGTTAGTTTAATTAAACCCAGTCTTTTCTCTTAGGTGAGTCAGTGCGGTTGCTTGTAAGGGAACGGTCTCTCTCGCTTCTCTCTAATGCAAAGATACACAGCTCAAAAAAATATTTCTTGAAGTGCATTTATTTGGTATTGTAGATGTTAATTTTCTTTTATAAACTTGGTCAATGTTAGGTTTGACTTAAGATAAAACTAAAACACCTTCGTTTTGGAACAAAAGGTGTACCAAATTGTACCTAGTGTTTGTTGCTGCCATAATGTTGTTTAAGAATAAATTTCTTGCCTGATATAGATTTTCGGATTGATACTGAGAGCTGATTATGAAGGTCGACAAAAGTGGTACACCATCCTGACAAATGCATAGCAGAGACGAGGAAACTGAAACATAGAGATTAATTTCTGGAGCTAACAAACAGAACAGAACTATAGTGTATACTAAATAGATTGAAACATAAAATATTAAGTGCTGGATCTACAAACAGAACAGAACAAAGTAACATGTGAACTAAACTTGCAATACTGTGGTATTTAGTTTGCAATCACGAATTAACAAAAGTATAACTCCGAATTGCTCAACTCTTAATTTATTTAGGGTGTTTCTTATTCACATCAACTCTTTTCTTCTCTGATCCTTTTGCATTCCTTGACCTGTTTTCAGAGATTATGCATATCCAAGGGCAATTGCATTAGCAATAGCTCAAGTCCTGATGGCGATCGGGCACTTCAACTTTGCAATGGCTTGGCCTGGGACAATGTACATTGGCACGCTGCTTGTCGGAGTAGGCTACGGTGCCCACTGGGCCATTGTGCCAGCCGCAGCCTCTGAACTGTTTGGGGTGAAAAATTTCGGAGCACTGTATAATTTCCTCACAGTCGCAAACCCAGCAGGCTCCCTGGTATTCTCGGGGGTTATCGCCAGTGGCATCTATGACGCTGAAGCAGCAAAGCAGGCTCAGCAGCGCCACAGCTCTACGTTGCTGGCAATGAGTGGCATAGTGGCTAACATAGCCTCTGAAGCCGCTCCGTCATCGAAGTGTGAGGGCGCCATCTGTTTCTTCCTCTCATCCCTGATCATGTCCGGGCTCTGCATCATTGCTTTTGGCTTGAGCTTGATCCTGGTCTATCGGACAAAGATTGTGTACACAAGCCTATATGGGAAACCGCGTACTTGAAAGATCAACCTTCAAGGGCCAGAGGGCGTGATATAGCTCCAGTGTTATCAAAACATACTTCAATTTTGAATTTAGTCTGGTGGTACCCCCATGCCTGTACAGGTATAGTATAGTGTTGGTCTTCCCTTGTGCACAGGTTCTTTGAGGAGAGTAGAACAGGAGCTTTGCGTTCCATTACAAAGTGCTGCTGAGGCACGCGAGTCACAGAAGGTTAATCTCTCAAGCAGCATTCCAAGTTTGTGGCTGCAGATGGGAGGTTCATTATAGCGAAGTATATGAGAGTAGAAAGTTCGTGGTGGAAATGCTGTCCTTTGCTCAAATTTTGCTGTATCTAGTTGGGAAAATTTGTATACACATGTAATAAGCTGTAGACGTTTCGACGTAGTATGTCAGGGTGGAGAGCATATTCTTCTATGATTTGTTGAAACTTGAAGTCAGCGTATAATAAACATATCTGGAATCAGGAATCTTGAATGGACGAATCGTGCACCGCGGTATATCTGGTGATGAGCGCGAGAGAGAGAGAGCAATCAAATTCAAGTTTGCACTATGGGACGGTCTAACCATTCTGTTTTATAGCACAAATTAAATATATATGGTGTGTTTGGTCCATCTCAAATGTGATCTTGGCCTGTACTATATAGTAACACTTACGTATTTGTATTTCTCACGAAGAAAACACTTGAACTTGTCAACAAGCATGTTTGCTCGCTGCTGACTAATTCGTTTTGTTAAGCTGTTTAGTGCCTCGCCTTGCGATGATCTTGGCCGTAAGGTCGCGGTCGCGGGCGACCAAGATGATGAACAGAGGTGGAGAAAATTCAAAGCACGGAGACAAAGATTTGAGCAAGCTCGTTAAGTTTGCAAGGGTAACAGAACATCAGGATGAATTCAAAGTTTAAACATGTTTCTTGTACTGCAGATTTTGAATGCCATATTATTTTTTTCGTATACATACTATATATAACAAGTATATTGCCCGTGCTAACGCCACGATGATGTCTAAAAAAATATTATTTATAAAACTAAAATAAATCATAAAACTTAAAAATGAACTGATGAAATAAACACAAATTCACAAACAAATGGCTTTGACATTGTGGTGTCTATAGCCGAAATAAGTCTCATATTTTGGTGTTCGGCTATCAAAATATTTTCCCAGTACAACAAACGTTATTCATCGAAACTCAGAAACTACTGTTATTGACATATTGAAGAGCCAAAGCTACAACCTGCACATCAATTAAAGGCTAGAGGAATTAATAGAAGACTGCATTAAAACAGGAGGTAAAAGACGAAAATACCCAATCTTCACCGATCCAAGGTAGAGAAAAGAAACTAAACATATTTCCCTAGCATGCAGGAATAGAAATAGAAATTTACTTTGCTGAAACCATTCACAACCATCCTGCAAGCAAAAAGATCGGATATCATCAGCAATATTAGACCAGGAGAAAAATGAACTTGAATTGACATGAACTGACAAAAATATGTTGCACCAAGAAGAACATCTATTGTTGTATGCCACAACAGAAAACACATATCACTGTCTTGCGAGATTGGTCATTTGTCACTGAGAAAAAACTCCAGTTAGACAACCTGGAGAAATAAAACATGTCCGAAAAAAAGAAAATATCATCTAGACATAGTGATGACTGCAATACAAATCCGTGCTACATAGCTAGGCAAAGCATTATTGCGTGTTAAAAGCTATTCCCCATCTCAGATTGTTCTCTTTTAATCCTCTCACTTCATAAGCAAGGCAACATCCTCACTTAAGGAGCACACAGACAGCCTACATAAGGATGCAGTTAGTGTACATTAATGAAAATGTTAGAGGGGAGTTTCCCATTTCTTCAACACAAAAGCAAGAGCATAGGAAGATGGCTACAATAAATCCCTAGGCCAAACAGCACGAAGCGCCCAGAGGATGGGTGCCAGACGATACAGCTACAATAGAAACAATGTTAGACAACAATATGTACCATTTTCAAACTGCCCTTCTATATCACCTCTTTCAATGGCACACACACCTCAAATATGCTATGCTGAATGTAAATCGAATTATGCTTTGGTGGTTCAGTAAAGCCTAGAGATCTTTTCTCTAAAAAAGTCACCTCTTTCAATAGAAAGATCAATAGCTGAAGATGGCCTTCGGGGCTTACAGGTCTCCATTCTCCTGAAACTCCTAAACTTCCAAAAGCACATAGAAAAGAATATGCTAGTAGTTGGGAGGCCTTTACACATTATACCGCGGATTCATGAGCCTCAACAATATTGTTAATTATATTAGCTAAACTCGTTCCCACACAGGGGCGGACCTACAGGGTATTCCTGGTATGCCATGGCATACCCTGCAGTCCAGCCGCTACTACATATATGTATACATATAAAAAAGGAACATACATGATACGGTACGCAGTCATATGGAGGTCTCCTTTGGACATGGCCAGACCACCTCAACTGATGTTAAACAAGCTTTTCTTCAATTGGTGCTACCTCTAGGCGATCACGTATATCATCGTTCCTAACTCGGTCCATTCTTGTGTGACCGTAAATCCATCGTAACATACGCATTTCTGCAACACTCAGTTGTTGAACATGTCAAATCTTTGTAGGCCAACATTCTGCTCCATACAATATAGCCGGTCTAATCGTCGTTCTATAGAACTTGCCTTTTAGCTTTTGTGGTACCCTCTTGTCACAGAGAATGGCAGAAGCTTGTCGCCACTTAATCCACCCTGCTTTGATTCTATGGCTAACGTCCACATCAATATCTCCATCCCTCTGTAGCATTGATCCCAGATACCGAAAGGTATCCTTCTTAGACACTACTTGACCTTCCAAAGTCACATCTCCCTCCACCTGTACAACTTCGCCAAAGTCACATCTCATGTATTCGGTTTTAGTTCTGCTCAATCTAAAACCTTTAGACTCAACGGTCTACCGCCATAACTCTAGTTTCCTATTTACTCCTGCCTGACTTTCGTCCACTAACACTACATCATCAGCGAACAACATACACAAAGGGATATCCCCTTGTATGTTCCTGGTAACCTCATCCATTACTAAGCCAAAGAGATACGGGCTTAAGGCTTACCCTTAATGAAGTCCAATTTTAATCGAAAAGTAATCCGTGTTACTATCGTTTGTTCGAACACTAGTCACAACATTGTTATACATGTCCTTGATGAGGGTCACGTACTTTGATGAGACTTTATGTTTGTCCAAAGACCATCACATAACATTTCTTGGTATATTGTCATAAGCCTTCTCCAAGTCAATGAAAACCAAGTGGAGGTCCTTCTTCTGCTCTCTAAACCGCTCCATAACCTGTCTTATTAAGAAGATTGCTTCTGTGTTGACCTTTCGGGTATCAAACCAAATTGGTTTGTTGATATCTGCGTCGTTCCTTGCAGGCGCTGCTCGATGACTCTCTCCCATAACTTCATAGTGTGGCTCATCAACTTAATTCCCCGATAATTAGTACAACTTTGGATATCTCCCCTGTTCTTGTAGATTGGTACCAATATGCTTCTTCTCCACTCCTCAGGCATCTTGTTCGATCGAAAGATATTGTTGAACATCTTGGTTAGCCATACTATAACTATATCCCCGAGATATCTCCATACCTTGATTGGGATACCATCAGGACCCATCGCTTTGCCCCCTTTCATCCTTTTCAAGGCTTCTCTGACCTCCGATTCTCGAATCCTCCGCACAAAGTGCCTGTTAGTGTCATCAAACGAGTCATCCAGCTTAACGGTGACATTCTCGTTCTCACCATGAACAATTTATCAAAATACTCTTGCCATCTATGTCCGATCTCATCCTCATTCACCAAGAGCTGCTCCCTCTCATCCTTTATGCACTTGAATTAGTTGAAGTCCCTTGTCTTCCTATCGCGAGCCCTAGCCATCCTATAAATGTCCTTCTCTCCTTTCTTCGTACTCAAACGTCGGTAAAAGTCCTCATAGGCCCGCCCATTTGCCTCACTCACCGCTCGTTTTGCAGTATTCTTTGCCACATTGTACTTCTCTATGTTGTTTGCACACCTGTCATGATACAAGCGCTTATAGCACTGCTTCTTTTCGTTAATAGCCTTTTGCACATCTTCATTCCACCACCAAGTGTCTTTTGAGTCGCATCCTAATTGCACAGATTGCGACTACTTTACGAGACGAATCTTTTAAGCCTAATTAGTCCATGATTTGACAATAAAGTGCTACAGTAACATATGTGCCAATGACGGATTAACTAGGCTTAATAAATCGTCTCGCGGTTTACTGACAGATTCTGCAATTTGTTTTTTTATTAGTATCCGAACACCCCATGCGACACCCTCATATAACATCCGATGTGACACCCTAAAATTTTACACCCTGACTATCCATTTCCACAATAACTAGACTTGTGCATTAATGGCACACATAACAGTAAACGTCGAGTTCAGCTACAGCAGTATCCTAAAAAAAAAGGAACCAGCTCAGCTGTCCTTTTCTAAGTGAAGAAGTCCAAGTGCTACTCTGCATCCCCGAGGTCCGAGGGCCGAGGGCATGCAGTCTTTTGTATGGTTAGAAATGAAAATGATTAGTAACAGCATGTTTTGAAACCATGTGAGCAAGAATATGACGGGCATGATCCCGACCTCTGAAAGTTCAACCGCAGCAAAATCTGCAGAACTTTATGTCTGTATCGATCATCACGGGACACTGGTACGATATGAAACCGAAAGCTTGGAATTTAACCGAAAATTCCAATATATATTCCACAGAAGCATCGTGCACGATTCAATCAACAACAGTCACGCGCAAGAAAATGTAAGGAAAATTCAGCCACAAAAAATTGTAAGGAAGTTTAAGCGTTGGTAGAGCGAGCACAGGCGATCGCGACATGCAACCAAGCAATGCAGCCGCAGCCCGCAGGCGCAGGGCAACGGGGGAAAAGAGAGAATGGAACCGAAGCATCGAACGTGCAGTAACAGGGAAGCGGTGAAAAAAGAAAAGTAATAATACAGCGATGAGAAAATGAAGAGGCGTGGCGTGGGGATCTCACCACCCAGAGCGGGGGCACGGGCACGCGGCGCGTGACGGCGAGCCAGACCCATCCGTACCCGACGAGGTTCTGCGCGGCGCCGACGAGGAGCGCGGCCCAGAGCGGGAGCACGGCGCAGAGCGTGCCGGCGAGAAAGCCGACGCTGTCGCCGAGGTCCTTGGCGACGCCGAGCCCGGCCACCAGGCGCTGGTTGTAGCCGAGCGAGGCCTTGATCACCGGCGAGAGGCTGCCGAAGAGGTAGCCGACGCCCGCGCAGGACTGCATCCACATCGCCGCCACGAACACCAGCCACCGGTTCCGCAGGAACCCGCGCACCCGGCTGCCCACCTCCGCCATTGCGCTTCCCCGGCTCCAGACTCGGAGCTCCGACCCCCCGACGCCGCGATACCCCGCGCGCGCGGCCGATTCAGAACGGACGAGGCGGCGGGGCCGGGTGTCCGCGGCGGCGCGACGGACGGACGGACGGGGTTGGGATCTTCTGGGCCAGGGACGGGCGCGGCGCCCGGATCGTTGTGAGGCACGGCAGGCTCCGGCACGGGCAGCGGTTGCCGTGGCTTTCTGTGGGCTGCCGAATGAATGCCGATAAGCGTGCGTGCGTGCGTGGGTGGTGGCCTGCCCTGCCCTGCCCCAGTGTCGCGGATACAAAAATGACGGACGGGAACGGGACCGGCCGAAATTCGTGGGATTGGAGCTCGTTTCCGCTTTCGCTGTCGCAGTTTGGGCGGTCGGGTCGGGATCGGGCGGCTAGGGTGGGCGGCGGGTAGGCCCCCTTCTGGGGAGCGATGACGACTCGGCTAGACCGCCGCGAGAGGAGGAGCAGGAGGAGGCAAAGGCCAAGGCAGGCGAGAGGCCACAAACACGGGTGTTGACAGGGAAAGCCAAGCCTTTTCCTCCGGCGCGCAGTGCGCGCTTCACGCACGCCTTTACTGATGGCACGGGCCAAGCCCCAGTGCGCAGTACGGAGTAGCAGCTAGCGAGCGACCGGGCTTTTGCTGCGAATGCCGCCTGCCGGTGGGTAACCGACTGAACTGAACGTGCCGTGTGCCGATGCGCCGAGACGTACGTGTTGCCCGCCGGGGAGAAGATACCAAGCGGATGCGTTTCATGTCAGTTGCCGGCTTTTGGCGCTTGAACGACGGTGAGCTTAGGGGAAAAGTTCCAACGCCCGTCTCAGTCGGTAGTCCACTTGACGCCGGAGAATGGCTGTTTGTGCCGTCTGCGTCTTCTGCGGCGTGTCCGTCCTTGCCTGCCGACTGCCGTGCATGCTTGGCTGTCATTTTCCCAGCCGTCTCGTTGGTGGGCCGTGGGCCGATGATATACACAACTGGTAATCTATATTTTATTTCTGCGTAATAAATTAGTACTCCGTCTGTGTTGAGATGGTATGCTACACGTCAGCCGTGTCTATTCAGCGCTTGCCATTTTAGCTAATGTGTGAGCCGGACAAAATATAGAACGAAGGTAGCTAGCGATTTTGGATGGATGCCTGGCTAGCGTCATCTACCTCTAGTCTCTGCACCGTGGACGACTGCGATTCCGTTCCAACGAACCACCGTTCTAAATCCAGACGAGCAGAGCTAGCAATGGGTGTGGACATGGGCAAAAACTCACCCGCGGATACTTGGTATCCGCAAAGATATGTGTATCAAATTTTATCCGCAGGTCTCGATGAGTATCTACAATTTTGAGAATAAATATAAATATCTTTAACATGTGTTATATACGTCGACTCACCCATTTAATATGGAACTTATAGCTTATGCCCATCCACTTGCATTGGTACGTGGTAATGGAACTCGCTGCAACCAATTTTCTTGTTGATAATAACAAGTGATAAAAAAAAAAGTGGACTTGCGCATCTGGCCATGGGCATGATGCAGAAGGATCATGTTCACAGATGCAGATGCTCGCTTTGTGAAGTTCCCTTTCCCTTTATAGAAAGACTAGAACGATACTTGCGATGGAGGAGGCGACTCGTGCGAAGGGGGAGCTAGTATAGCTTTGCGTTAAACTCTGTAGCTGAGATGTAGGCTAATCGTTGTAGGCATTGCTTCTTGGTTAACTACATTGTTCGTTATAGTTTTAGGAACTCAGATTATATAAAATATGGAGTTTACTAGAGGCCGCGTGCGCAGGCGGCCGCCCCACGCCTCCTCCCCACCCCGTACTATTCTCTTCCCCGCAGTCCCTGTAAGGATTGTTGATTACCTCTCTGTGTAACCGTAGATCCAGGTTAGGCTCCTCTCGGTGGTGTAGTTGCACCGCAGCAACGTAGACGCCAAGTTCGCCCTGGATGTCGCCTCGCGGACGCCGGTGCTCGGCGCGGTGGTGAGGAGGCGAGGTGGCGATCCAGTGGACCGGTGGAGACCCTGCAGAGGCGACGGCGGAGTCGGTGGGCTTCCCGTCGCTGGCAGCACCACTTTAGATCGGATTAGGTTTCCTCTGTTAGGTGGGTATGATGGCTCCGTTGAACCTCATTATCCGAGCCCTGATCCCCACCTTACCTTTTATATGTGCTGTGCGACAGGGGCCCATCAACCGTATTAGGGTTGGGCATCCCCGATCAGGGCGCAAAGACAAAGGACCCAATAGTCCGTTGGGCCTATTAGTGGAGATCAACTAACATTCTCCCCCTTGATCTCATTACTATCTTTTAATTTCATATTATTTACTTTTATTCATTCCATTACAGATTAGCGCATAGAGCATGTCTCATCATCACGGTCCATTGCCGATAGATTTAACAGCTAAAACACACTACTCGATTCTGAAATAGATACTTATCTTTGGGCCTTCTTTTGTCCAGAAATTTTAAGCTTTCCCTTAAACCCATGTTAGCTACATGTTCTCTGAATACCATGTTCTCTGAACACGTTGGGTGGTAAGCCTTTTGTAAGCGGATCCACGAGCATCCTTTCTGTACTTATATGCTCAAGACTTATGACATGATCTCAGACTTTATCTTTCACAACATAATACTCTATGTCAATGTGTTTGGCAGCACCACTTGACTTATGTTGTGAGCATAATGTACTGCCGGATTATTATCGTAGTATAACTTAAGTGGTCTATAGATGTCGTCAACCACCTTCAAACCGGGTATGAACTTCTTTAGTCAGTTCACCTGCCCGTTGCCTCATAACACGCTACAAACTGTCATACATTGTTGATGATGTAGTGCCAGTTTACTTTGAGCTTTTCTATGAAATAGCTCCCCCTTTGCGAGAGTGAATACATATCCTTTCTAAATTTTCTATCATCTCTCGCATAATCAGAATCTGAATATCCCACTATGTGGAGTGAATCAGATCTTCTATACGTCATTATGAGGCCTTTCGTTCCTTGCAAATAATGCAAGACTTTCTTTACCAATTTTCAGTGTTCTTTTCCAGAATTGCTCTGGAATCTGCCAAGTAACCCGATAACAAATACCAAGTCAGGGCGCGTACATACTTGAGCATATTGCAAGCTTCCGACAAATGAAGCATATGGAACCACTTTCAATTTGATCGATCTCATATTGGTTCCTGGGGCATTCAAAATCCCCATATATGTCGCCCTTGACTATAGGAGCAGGTGAGGGACCATATTTGTGCATACTAAATTTCTTTAAGATTCTTTCTATGTATGCCCTTTGTGACAGTCCTAATACCCCTTTACTTTTATCTCGGTGAATCTCGATCCCTAGAACGAACGAGGCTTCACCAAGATCTTTCATATCAAATTTTGAGGACAAAACCTTCTTTGTCTCCAGTTGTAGACTGACATCACTACTAGCAAGTAAGATATCATCCACATACAGGACAAGGAAGATAAACTTCCCATTCTTAAACTTTGTATAGACACAATTATCCTCTACATTCTCTTTAAACCCAAAATTCTTTATTGTCTGATTAAACTTTAAGTACCACTGTCTCAAAGCTTGTTTTAATCCATAAATAGATTTCTTTAGGTGACATCCCATTTGTTCTTTTCCTTCCATGACAAAACCTTTCGGTTGTGCCATATAAACTTTTTCCTCCAAGTCACCGTTGAGGAAAGCCGTCTTTACATCCATCTGATGTAATTCTAAATCGTAATGTGCCACTAATGCCATTATGATTCTAAAGAAAACTTTACATGAGACTGAAGAAAAAGTCTCATTGTAATCAATCTCTTCTCTTTGCATAAAGCCTTTTGCCACAAGTCGCGCTTTATATCTCTCTATATTCCCTTGAGAGTCAAGTTTTGTTCTATAGACCCATTTATAGCCTACTGTTTTGGCTCCTTTAGGAATTATTTCCAAGTCCCAAACTTTATTGGCATTCATTGAGTTCATTTCATCTTTCATGGCCTCAAGCCATTTTGATGAATGATCACTTCTCATGGCTTCTTCAAATGAGGTGGGATCATCCTCCATTTGAAATTCCTCAGTGTTGTACACTTCATAATCAGCAGGGATAGCTGATTTTCTAACTCTTTGAGACCTTCTAGGGGCCTTCATATTTGGCACATTTTCTGTTTGAGGCTGTTGTTGCTCCCCCTCATGTGTGGCAATAGGTTCTATAGGATTCTGAAGAACAGGTTCCTCATCGTCATTCATTGTTGCCACAGGTGGGATAACAACAGGTGCTGGCATCACAGTATCTAGCACTGTCGGTGCAGCGACAGCAGGTAGTGAGAAAAATGACTCATGAATCATTGGAGTGGGCGCATACACCCGCTTCACTTCAAGGTCAATTTCTCGAGCTACCATGCTCCCCCTCATCAATTCATCCTCTAGGAAGACAGCGTGTCTCGTTTCCATAAACTTTGTATGTCTCTCTGGACAGTAGAAAACGAAAACCTTTTGACTTTTCTGGGTAGCTAAACAAATGACAACTTTCTGTGGCAGAACCGCCTGAAATAGCACACTTACGGAGGTGCTTGTCTACCACCAGACACTAAGCACCCCGGAAGTAAGCTACAGCGGGCGATATCCGTCAGGCACACCCCAAGGGAGAACCCGAAAGATCCACATTTTTCCTCAAGGATCCAATAATAAAAACGAGTTACAATATCAGTTCATTTCATACATCAGAGTTTTCTTAAAAAGTACATTATGACAATACCAAATACCAGAGTGCGGAATAATAAACAGCAGAATTATAAATTAGCAACTAGCGATAAGGGGCGAGGATTCCGTCCGAGCCCACCAGAAGGATCCTCCACACAAGGTACTCTTCAAGCATCACCTGCAACAGAGGTAAATAAACCCTGAGTACGCAATGTACTCGCAAGACTTATCCGACTAGTAGAAATAATTTCCTGACTCCAAGGATTATGATAGGCTTTATGGTTTGCTGGTTTTCTTTTAACAAAACAGCTCTAATAGTGAGTCCTTATCCATGTCTTGTTATTTGCCATATTAAGTTATCATCTAGCCAGTCTATATAAGCACCTGTTCTACTTTCAAGCAAGAGTTGAGCAATCAGTTTCCATTCTTCTCCTTTCCACTTTCAGTTCTTACTACGATGCTAGAGTTAAGACAAGCCATACCGACTCGGCGGCGATTCGTGGACCAATGTGCCCAGCTGGGTGCCCCGAAACACACGCCCCGCTTGTACCCCAGGCACAAGCAGGACTAACCCATCACTCTCCTGTCCCGGGTGTCCAGGTCCCCGTCCAAACTTTGACTCCAAGCCTCCACTCCTGAGTCTCGGACTCAGTGTGGTGCAAGGACTTCCACCACCTCCTCTTCCCATCAGTCGGTCCGGAAAGAGCCGGATCCGCGACAAGAGAGCAACAAGCCTTCCCTGCGTCCATACCTAAGTATGCGTTCGGGACAATAGATCTGTGACTTGCCTAGCGTCCATTGCAACGATCGGTCCTTAATTGACACAGACAGGAAAAAGATGTAACCAAGCTATGCCCTGTTGGCCATAGGACACAACCCCTTACACCCACCAGTACTCATTCCACATCCCTACCCGGTCACCATTTACTTTCCACCATTTTATTATGAGTGATCATATTTATTACCTACTTGCGAGTAACGGCAGGTTACTCATGCTACCGACATCCTGAGTATAGCAGCTACTCGACCTGTACTAGTAGGACTCATAGGTGGATATATTTATGCATGTAGTTTCCATAAAATACCTGTAACATATATATATATATATATGTATATATATATATATCGGTGTTCATTTAAAAATAAGGGTCATGCACCGGGCTTGCCTTGGGCAGGCGCTGGATCAGTAGGGTCAGCACCAACAGGCTCCTGGGCTCCCTCCTGCACGAAGATCTCCTCCTCGTACTCCTCGATCACCTCGTCGTACTCCGGCTCGCCGACGGGTACGAAATCTACCAGTTCGTGATCTACATGAAATGATGATGCAATGTTTAATAAGATGACAACAACAACTCTTAACCTAAAAGTACATCTATTAAACTACTAACACTAAGGCTAAGCTATGTACCATCACCACTAACAAGTATGAACGTGACATACATTCTTATAGCAACTACATATATTCTTACTCCTAATGCCAATTTATGATATATACGATAAAGCAAGGATAATAACTACGCTATTTAGCAACTCGTTCTAAGGCTACCAATTTTTACAGCAAGTACATAATGGCCTAGGAAACCTACTGTAAAATTTTCATGTCGACAGCTATCACCGATTGTCCACAAATATTTCTACAAATATGACTCTACATAATATTAGCTATTTAGCTTTGAATTTATGACCCAATACTTACCAGAGTTAACTACAATCTAACTGTACGAACAGGTAGATAATAAGTTTACGAACCTAACAAAATTAATCTCACTATTTTTGGACAACTACGTAATTTACTACGATTTATCGAAGTTGGATTCATAACTAAAATAAATAAGCATTTCTATTATCTGGAAATTAAGAAAACTAAATTCTCCATTTCGGCCCAACTCGCGCGGCTGGCCCGCAACAGCGCGTCACGCGCGCCAACGCAGTGTGGCCCAGCCGGCCAATGGCCCGTGGCGGGAGAAAGGCCCGCGCGCGACGGCATTATGCGAAAACGTCCCCGAACCATTCGGTATTTGCTACAAGTCTACGATACTATTTCGCTAGTCTACAGTTTTACATCTGCACCCTCTCCTTTCTCCTCCTTCACCACGGCGAAGTCCCTGGCACCAGGGCGCGCACCGGCGCGACGGCGCGGGCATGGGATGGCTACGCCGGCGGCATCCAAACCTCTAAGGCCTAGCTAAAGGGTCGATGATTACCTCCACGGCAAGGCACGGTGTCTGGAAGCGATACAGTGGACAGGAGCGTCGTTCCGGGTTCCCTCCCCGGCGGTGAGCCCTGACCTGCAAAGGTGGGCGCGTTCCAGTAAGCAACAACGAAGGCAAAGCCAGCACATGAGCTAGCGAGCACCCGGGAGTGCTCATGGATACCTTCGCGTTGACGGTTCAGCCGGAGGTGGTCTGAGCAGAGCTGGCCGCGTGCGCGCGAGGTGGTGCGGCGGTGTAGATCTTACTGTTTTGTCACGTGATGAGACTCAAATTTCAAAAAATAGAAAACCCTTCAATACGATGTCGGATGAAGATAAGTTTTATATGTAAATTGTAGACCTCGATGAGATCTACAACTTTATAGTTTTAATTTTTTTCATTTGAGGACAGTAAGATGCTCGAAAAAATAATATAAAATTTCAGCACCATAATAATCGCCTACTCGCGCTTGCCGCATTAGAGCACTAATATATTATTTGTATGGAGTTAAATGAAAATACTTTTTATACTAAAGTTGTAGCTCTCGATGAGATAGTTTTGAGTTTTTTCATTTGAGGAGGTTAAGATGCTTAAAAAATAATATAAAATTTCGACGCCCCCGAAAATATCAAAAGTTACTGTTCATACGACAAAACCGCCCAGAAGATTGAAAGTTGAACGGTTTCAAGAGTTGGAGGACCAAAGTTATCCAGTTTTAAAGTTCGAGGTTAAAATTCGGACTTTGACGAGAGTTGGAGAGTGTAAATTAGTCTTTACCCTAAAAATAAATCATGTAACAGCATTGGACTTATACAAAAACGAACCCAAGCCAAAATATCCTTTTCTTTATTAGACCTATATATCGTCAGATTAACCTTTTCAATTAAGAATCCTCAAGTTGTTCATGGTATTACGTACGCTCTTCAGTCTGTACAAAAAATGCACCAAAAAAATCAATAACCACAAAAAATATTAAAAAGAAAGAAAAGGAAAAGGAAGAAACAAACAGAGAAAAAAAACACCTTCAAACTTTGGCAACTGTATGCAAAAAAAAAGAGAGAGAAAAAATAATCAATCTCAGTATACGCATCTCGATCAACTCCAAACAGCATTGAGATAATCTGAGTTACAAACGCTGCTGCATGCAGGCCCTCCCTCTAATGATTGAAGGCAGTGCAGACTCTTCTGATCTCTCCATCCTTCCCTGTCTTCACCCCTAACCTCCCCAGCTTGAGCATGGCGGCTTTGAAAGCATCAAAGAACTCCTCCTGGCTGGCGGCGAACCTGTCGACGATGGGCCTGGTAGTCTCGTCGGTGTAGAGCACCTGGTCGGAGGTGAAGAGCCCCAGCCCGTACTGCAGGTTGGTGTAGTAGGCGTTGTCGAATTTGATGGGGCTGACGGGGTCCATGTTGACGGCGATGGTGGGGCCGACTCTGATAGGGCACGCCTGCTTGAGCTGATCCGCGTAGTCGGAGTTGAAGGACGGGTCCGTCGGCGTGCTGCTGCTGTAGTTGTAGAGCCTGTTGGTGAAGCGGGTGCAGTGCGCGAAGCCGACGGTGTGCGCTCCGGAGAGGGCGATCATCTCCTTCGTGGTGAAGCCGTTCGTCTGGAACACCGGGGTGAGCTCCTTGACGTGCATTTCCGGGGCCGGCAGCTTCCCCTTGACGTCGCTCGCCCTGGAGGCGAGGGCGTCGAGCCGGCCGAGCTCCACGCGCCAGTAGGGGCCATCCGCCTGCATGCCATTGCCACCACCAATATATCATCAGGTTGATCCAGGGCCGGGACTGGCTCGATCGGAGGCTAGAGAGATGAAGGCGGTGGGTGTGGCTTGTTACCAGGTAGACGACGTCTCTGGCGGCGAGCGCGATGATGTCGGCGCAGGACACGACGCCGGGGCACTTCTTCTCGACGGCGTCCTTGACCCGGTTGATGGTGTCGAAGCCGTCGCCGGCGAGCGACTCGTTGTCCTCCGCGTCCTTCTCGGCGTCGTTGTTCTTGGACGCGATCAGGACGGCGGCGTCGCAACCCTGTGATTGTTGAGGTGAAACGGCAGGATTACTCATCACATTACTTATTTCTTTTTCTTTTTTATACTTTTTGCAATTAGAAATGTAATGTTCCTGCGAGTAAACGAAAAACATAGAGCATATTTGGCAGTTGAAATTGTGTTCAGAAAACTTGACAACGTCCATATACATTGGTGACCGGAAAATGTATTTTGCTCCTATAAAGAAATTAATAAGGTTTAAAAAGCCTGAATATGAAATACGCCTGCCTATCCGTAAGCGTGGGGGTCCTATACAACTGGTGCTCGACGTGAGCTCACGCGGCACCCGATGTATTAGGTCAACCCAGAAAAGAAAAGAAAAGAAAAGAAAAGAAAAGAAAAGGTGGAGGAAAAAAGGACTGGAATGAGATGCCAGCTGCTTGCTTGCCAGGATGCCACTAAACAACACTAGCAGAGACCAGAGAGCCAGCCAAAGGCAGCATCTTCGTCATATTCTTGGCAATATGCATGTAACCAGCTGTTGAGCTGCAGCAGGTAGGAGTATTGGGTATATGAATCCTTCCAAAAACCGAAACCAAACCAGCTGCAAGTGAGTTGGTGAAACATGATTGAAATCGTTTCCCAAGCAGCCAGCTACGCCTGGACCTGAAGAATTCTCCATAAAAAGTTTCTGCGAGAATTTTCAGAGCCCAGAAACAGATGAGTTGGCCGTCCTCATTTTCGGCAGGTCGACGACGCGCTCGCCGCTCGGGATTCGGGGTGTGGTGATTTCTGACGAGACGCCACGCCGCTGCCCGCTGCCTCCGACACGGCACACGGCTGGCATTTTGATAATCCGGAGGGGCTGATGAAAAGCCGCGTCGTCACATGCGCGCCCTGCCGCAACCGACGACCACGCGGGGCTCTCGAGTTGTTCCCTCCCCTTCCCCGGCCAAATCGAATCCGGTTTTCTATTGGCAACATCTCAAGGCACCCATTTCTTTTTCTTTCTTTCTTTTCAGCACGATTCACAGAAGAGCAGCACAGGGCAGGCAGGGCTTGCGAGTTGCGATGAGCCAATGAAGGACGAACTGGGAAGCAGAAGAGGCAAGCGGCAGACAGGACAGCCCATGTTATCTGACTAGAAAAGCAGTGTGCAACTTGCAACTTTTGTGGTTCCAAAGACGGCTTCTGCCTTCTTGGACCGAACAGAGGAAAGGAGATGAGAAAGAGTGATTCTGATTCCTCCACAACAGGGGAGAGCAAGTTGAGAGAGGAAGGTGAGAGTGAGTGGGAACTAAACTCTGCTGCTAGCACGCACGAATCACAGCTGAACCGAGAACCAGACCACCACCCAAGGAAAAAAAAAACAGATTAAAAAAAATCAAATGCAGTAGATCAGTAAGTTGAGCACCATGTGCAGCCCCCCTAAAAATTGTGCATCTCGGAGCAAGGATGGGGAGCACGCACGAATGAAACCATGGATGAGTGCGATGAAAGCAAAGGAAGAGGAGAGGATTCGCGGCGTGTGCTACTACTCACCCCGACCATGCAGTCGTGGAAGACAAGGCGGAGCGTCGCCGGGATGGTGACCACCGTCTCGTTCTTCTTCCTCGTCACCTCGTACCGCACGATCGACTCCAGGTCCGGGCAGCTGTCCTTGTAGTAGTCCGGCGACAGCGCGGCCTCCACGCTGGGCGGCGACGGCATTGCGGCCACCGTCAACAACGCCGCCAGCACCATCAGGGACGACACGCCGCCTCTTCGTCGCTTCTCCATGGCCGGCCGCCGGCCCCGCCTTGGCTGTCGGGGCCTGGCTGGGGCGCGGTGGCTTGGTGTAGGGGAGGCCTGCTAGCTGGCCGGAGCGGCGGGGTAGAGGAGGAGGAGGAGGAGGCGGCGGTGCTGAGGAGCGGGGACGAAGTGGTGGAGCCGAACGGGCGAACGGCTATGGTCGCGGACAGCGGGGATGCCGGGGGGACGGGGGTGAATGGAATGGAAAGCAAATGTTTTATAGCAATCAGCCAATGTCTCGATGAGAGAAATGATTGGCCGTTGCCGTTAGGCCTTTTTATAAATAAATATATAATTTCTCCATTCCGAAATAAATGTTTTCTCAATTCCCAAAAAGTCACTAACTTTTAACTTTAATCAAATATATACTCTCTCCGTTCCTCTAAATTATAAGTCGTTTTGACTTTTTAGTATATTCATTTTGCTATGCATCTATAGATATATTAATATGTCTAATACATAACAAAATGGATGAAAAAAAACAAAGTGATTTATAATTTAGAACGGAGAGAGTATAAAATATTAATATTTATAGTGCATAATTAATATCATTATATAGATTGTTGAATTATTTTTATAATAAATGTATTTAGAGATACAAAGTTGACTGGCATGAATACATTAGCGACACTTATTTTAGGACAATATAATATAATAAAGTTAATAATAAAACTCCTCAAGCTAAATTAGAATGGTTCTATTTAAAAAAAATGAAATTGGTTATGCCAGGAGCTCCAACGAGTTATATGTTGCATATATAATCTCTTGATTGAGCTCTCATACAGTCAAACTTATCTACATTTTTTCCTTATAAAAAAGTCTAGCTACCTAGCAAAAGATGGGGGGCATCTCATTTTGTGATGTCGGGCAAAAGTGTTTGCTTTAACGGTTTGTGGAGGCCCAAAGTAAGGCCTCTCGAAACTACGATTAGATCATCCTTTATGGTTGATTTTTTTGTAATTCGAATTAGTCATTTTAAACACATTGAGTAGGAAAGGGATTCTACCCTTACAAGTACAATAACAAATTTGTTTGAGATCCCATGGTTTTGTACATTTCTCTTAGAAACTTCCTTTGAGGCTACTACGATTTCCTTTCCTCCTAACGTAATATATTTCATTTGGACACAGTATCAGAAAAAGCTTAACTTAGGATAGTTAAAAGCTCTATATCTATATCCATATTCTATATTCTATATATCTTATAATCTTAAACCCACTATCACATGCGTTTAACTGTTGTTATTAGTATGCCACGCCATCCACTACCATTAATTTATAATAGTTTATTCCTTCATATAAGTAATTTAGTTTAATTTTATTCAAATTCATTCATAATTTTCGTAGCAACACGCGAGGTATACTTTTAGTATAATAAATCTATGAGGACATCCACACCGCCTTTTCTCAATAGATTTTCTTTTTTTTCAATACATCTCTATTTCCGTCTCGACCTTCTTATTTGTTGTGCATCATATTTATTTTCTCTTCTCCTTAGTTCCCGTGACGAGGCATACAAGATCTTCGACTGAGGAAGCACTGTACATAAGGATGGCGACAACTGTGATTGTCAAACTCACGGAGAGAAATAGGAAACCGAAACCGTGGGGGAAGCACGCAAGTGCTTCGTGAGGCGCATTCAGGGGAAGCAGTCCAACTCAGCAACTTGTATTGCACTGCTACTGGTTGCGTCGCATCTGCGTTGGGGCCCATGAGTCGACCCCGGTTTCAGCAATTCAGCCTCGGATCCCGGGATCACCCGACGGACGGGACGCCAACGGCGCTGTCCTGTTGTCCACCTCTCCTCGTCTCCCCGTCTTCACCTGCATCATCCTGCTTCACGCTTGCCCTCCTCGTCGCTCCTCTCGGCTACGAATCCTCGCACTCGCACAAATCAGCTCGATCACACGTGTTTGCTCGGATTTTACGTTGGTCTTGCACGAGAATGGTCGCTGCCCCCAACCCCAAAGCAATGCTCGCCGCCGACACACCGTATCGTCCGTCCCCAGGCATAACACTAAGGGGGGCAGACACCCAGGAAAGGAAGATTCGCTCGATGGACGTCGGTATGGATGGCAACGGGGATGTGTCCGTCGGGTACCGCCGGAACGTTCTCTTCCCCGCTACGGAGAATTCATCCCGTCTCCGTCTCCGTTAACTGTCTCGGGTATAGATTCTTGTCCATCCCCGTACCCGTCGGGCATCAGTCGGGTAACAGATATCCGACGAGTACTGCATACCCGATAAACAAGGACATTTGGGGTCGCAGCTTTGCAATCGAAGATGTTTCTTCTTCACCCGGGTATAAGTGTCGGAGTCTCGGAGATGCCGAGGAGAAGAAGCGAGGTTGCGAGGAGGACGAGCAAAGGTGGCAGAGAGACCGAACTGAGGAAGCGAGGGGCACGAGCGCTCGTGAGGCAGGCATGCTTGTGCTGCTGGCGGAGATGGTGAGGAAAAAATGAACTAGGTTCCTAGAACAAACAAACTATATATATGATTGTTCAGATTTGGGCCAAAATACCTATGTTGAGCTTCTTTGGGCCTAATACTCGCATGATAGCTTAAATAGTCGGGTTACCCAACAGGTAACGGGGACAGGTAAACATGGAACGTTCCCGTACCCGCTATACCCGTCGGGGATGGATTCTTGCCCATTTAGATGCCCGCGGGTAAAGATATGATCACATCCCCATCCCCTAATGGATCAAATACCCATCGGGTATCGGGTATCGGGGCCCCGTTGCCATGTTTAGACATCGGCGGCGAGAAATTTCATTATTTAACCTGAGTTCGCAAGCCTCTCAGTGTTTGACATTTAATTCGTAAGCCTTTCAATATTTAACCCCCTGCGCACTTGAATTGTTTCAATTCAAGGGATTATGAAGGATTTGTCTCATTTCTTATTTCGAGCTACCTCTTTACACTGTTTAGGCCACAGGAAATGACGATACTACCCTCCACTTTTTTCTGGTGGTCTGGACGCTCGCCCAGCACCTCGTTTCTCTCGGTTTACGCACTTTTCTCCCTGACATTTTCCCTGCCGGCTCACCTAACGATTTTCATAGTCCTTAGAACTTAAATTTTACACAGATCTAACATATTTAGTCCAAATCAACGTAAACAACGCATAAATTATAATCAAATTTCAACGTACACAATAGAACCAACCATACAATTTAGTAAATAGGTTCAAGTCGACAATACAACCATGTAGGCAATTTAAAGAGTACATGTTCACATAGAGACAATAGAATTACCCAGCCAATTTAAGATTACAGGTTCACATAGACAAAAGAAACATCCTGATGGCCGAGAATCTAGAACAATACAAAAGTCTCCAAACGTTGTTCTAGGAATATTCAAACATAGATCTTCTTTCTCTTCTTTGGAGTGAGTTTTTTCTTCAGACCTAGCCTCTTCCTTGGAGTGGCTATAGTATTACTCGCCCCTTCTCCAGTTTGACTAAATACCATAGGAAAATAGACCGGTTCGGTATATGAAGTAAGATAAGCACAAACATGTTAAACAAGTTGAATCATTTTACCTTCTAGTAACTGCTCTAGGGCTTGCAGTGATCTGATTTGTGCCTCCAAATTCCACCATTGTTAATTGCATTTGGCTAAAAATAAGACAAATGTTTAGCCTAAAAAATAGATAGTGTTCCAAGTTCCAAGTTAGTGTTCAGTTTATAAAAATTCACCTTCTTGTAACAGGCGCGGGACTAGTGCTAATTTCTTTTGTGCCTTCTGGTTCTTACGCAGGTCCAGGACTATTATTCACTGAATTTTCTTACACATGAACCTTCTGCCTTATGGATGGACTAGGAGCCGCATCACCTTTGGTAGAACCAGCATGCCTACCTGCCTTTCCTTTCTTGGTCCGACTTTTTCTATAAATATAAAATTGAGATAAGTTCAAAATATGAAGAAAATATGAGTTAGGTCGAAAAAGGCAAACACATTTACCTCTTCTTTGTTCCATTGAGAGGACACTTTGGGGATGTTGTCCTATGGCCATGACCTAAGCAATTTTTGCACTGCACTTGCCACATGCCTTTGCCCCTGGGTTTGCTTCCCTTGTTCTCAGTGCATCTAGGCATTCTGAGTTTCCTTTGTCTTTCAACCTCTCTCTTATCGAGTGGTGGTAGGACGTTAAATCCAGGATCCACACTTGCCCATTGAGACTTATCAGGTAGTGGTTTGATCACACCACCATAGGCTAGTCTAAAATGGTACACTGAGTAGTATAGATAAGGCAATCTTCTATCTTAGGATTTCTATGTGTGGTGATTAGAAGCAAAGCATGTGCACATGGTTTTTCTGAGACTTGCCACTCCCTACAGGTACATGTGTGATTCTGAATATTAACCACATGTCTTATGATCTTTTAGGAATCTGTGACCTCTGTCACCTCTGCTTCATCCCGTCCACCTTCTTTTATTTTAAAGTGACCCAACTGACGACTCATTGTATATAGTTGGCGAACAACTATTGGCGAACAACTATTGGCAGCATTACATGTCCTTCAAATTTCTCACCTATTCTCCTCCTTATTGCATAAAGCTCCATGTACTTTGACCTAAGAGTGTCATCAAGGTCAGCTATGGGAAGGTCCTTAATGTCCTTCACCCAATTGTTCTAAACCTCTACCACATTATTAGTGATATGATCACACTTTATTGCCTCTAAAAATTTGCTCCTCATCCACTTCAACTTGTGATTGGCTTTCAACCATGGCTCAACCTTTTTATTTACTGCATACATCTTGTTCATTAAGTACTCATTGTATTCTGGTTGGAAAGTCCTTGCTGCAGGATATATTCTCCCAAATACAGGTCCTTGAAACCTCTTGCTGAAATTCTTCATGAGATGGACAAAACATTCTCTATGCTCTGCCCAAGGGTATACCTTCTTCACTGCATTCTCTAGACCCTTGCAAGCATCTGAACTTATAGCTAGGTGGGTGGATTCCTAATTGCCTTTTGCAGCTGCTGCATAAACCAAGTCCAATTATCAGTAGTCTCACCATCAAAAAACCCAAATGCAATTGGAAACATCCAGTTGTGTCCATCTAGTGCTGTAACTGAAGGTAAGTGGCCACTCCATCTACCATTGAGAACTGTGGAGTCAATACTAAAAAATGGTCGACAACCATTTAAGAAACTATCAATGCTTGGTTTCAAACAACAAAAGAATCTGTGGAAAAATACACCTTCCTCCTTATTCACGACGTCTATCTCTACAATACTTCCTGGCATCCTAAGCTCAATCTCTGCCTTGAAGTTGAACAAATATCCAAAACTTTCTTCCCATGTCCCATGAATTTGTTCTCCTGCCACAACAAAACCCTTATGCACAATACCATACCCAATTTTAACTTGATACTTGTCATCTAGCTCTTCTTGTATTTTCTTTGCACCTATGTTTGGATCCTTCATTAGTAAGGGGCTGCCTTCTCTGCTACCCAATGGTATCATGCCATCTTGGTCCTCACTCTCCCAGTAGATGGACAAAAATGTTTTTCTTTATTCAATGTAACCTGTTAAATGGAAACAAACATGTTAGTAACGCAACATACATGCATGAGGACTAATAATGCATAATATATTAAGTTAGCATACTGTATATATGAAAAGTGTTAGTACCCTGACTTAGACTTGATCAAGCAACAACCTTGTTACAATAGACCATAGACAACCTGAAAGGTCGAGATGACGGACTAGAGGGGGGGGGGGTGAATAGTCCTTTCTAAAATTAATCGCGTCGGCTAACCGAAACAAGTGCGGAATTAAAACTACTAATCTAGCTAAGACTATACCCTTCTATCTATGTTCTCTAGCACCTTATAAAGATCCTAATTAAGCAACTAAGGTGCCGGGCTAGCTAGAGCTCACCTAACCAATTCTAGAAGCAAGGCCACACAAACCTATGCCACTAGTACTTCAAGCAACGAGGGAGCTCCTACACATGCTAGTAAGCAAAAGCACAATGCTACCTAAGCTCACTAGCAATGCTCAATAACAAGGCAACCAATGCCAAATTAGAGAGCTCAAATACTTAGCTATACAAACTAAGCAATATGACTAACAAGGTTACACAAACCAAATTAGCCACACAAGGGAGCTACTTCTATGCTACACAAGCTAGAATGTAACTAGCAAGCTACACAAGCTAACTAATTACAAAAGCATCTACACAAGCACAATGTATATGAAAGTAATTACAAGCTTGTGTAACGAGGATGCAAACCAACAGGAATACAAGGATGACACCATGATTTTTCCCGAGGTTCATGTGCTTGCCAACACGCTAGTCCTCGTTGAGACAAGCTCGAAGGTTGCCACCAGTCCTCTTGCTAGTGGTGACCCATAAGTCACACTCTCCCATGTGGAGTGCTTACCACAAGCTCTAGCACTTGACCTGGCCAGACCACTGTCGCCCTTCGCGTCTCGCTCTACTAGAGTTGCTCTTCGCGGCTCCTATGGGGTGAGCACAATCCCCCTCACAAAGCTCTTCTCTGGAGCACCGCACAAGCTTCTTGCGGGCTTCGATGGAGACCACCACCAAGCCATCTAGGAGGTGGCAACCTCCAAGAGTAACAAGCACCACCAGCTTGTAACTTGAACACCTAGTTACACTCGATGCAACCTCACAATGCAATCGCACTAGAATCGCTCACTCACTCGATTGGATGATCACTATCAAGCTCAAGTGAGTTGGAAGGCTCCCAAGCACTACCACATAAGCCACCAAGGCTCTAGTGTGCTCCCCTATGGCCAAAGGCCGACCAACACTTCTATTTATAGCCCCACGGGCTAAAATAGTTGTTACCCCTTCACTGGGCATTTTTTCGGGTCAACCGGACGCGCTGGTCGTATCAACCGGACGCACCCGATCTAGCATCCAGTCAATGGATGCACGTCGCCTTCATTCAACCTTAGTCGCTTGATCTCAACGGTCGGCTGCCACGCGCCAACGGTCAAGTGATGACCGGACGCAGCACAGTGCCAAGATCGGACGTACCTCTGCCGAGTCTGGTCGTTTCCAGAGAGGTCCCGAGAGAGCCAAACGACTACCGGACTCGTTAGTTTGATCATGACCGGACGCAGGAGGGGCAGCGTCCGGTCGAGTCTAGAGAGCTCCTAGAGCCGCTCAACTACGATCGGATGCGTCCGGTAGATCAGGATCGGACGTAGCATCAGCGTCCGGTCCTTCTCCTCTTCTCTATGCCGCCACGTCAGCAGGACCAAACGAACCCACCACGCGTCTGGTCACAAAGTGACCTAGCATCCGGTCGAAGACCGAAGCATGCGCCTCCACTGCTGCCACTGACCGGACGCGCTGGTGCAGTTGAGGCCAGCGACCTGTCACTCACAGTGACATCCTTTCGCCTCCATTTCTTCACCGAGTTGATCCACATGAACTCTAACTTCTTCTCCTTTGTAAATATGCCAACACCACCAAGTGTACACCACCATGTGTATGTGTGTTAGCATTTTCACAATTATTTTTCAAAGGATTAGCCACTCAACTTGCCACACCACTCGATCCTAGCGACGATGCAAAGTTAGATCACTCGAGTGACACTAGATGACCGATGTGTAAACAAGTTTGCCCCTCTTGATAGTACGACCATCTATCCTAAACCTGGTCATAAACTTCTCTACACACCTATGACCGATGAAATGAAATGCCCTAGGTTATACCTTTGCCTTGCGCATTCCATTCCATCTCCTCTAATGTTGATGCAACACATGCACCAACACGATCAACAATGATATGACCCACTTCATATCATCATGTGATCATATTGGTTCATCGATCTTGACTTTACTTGCTTTTCACCATTGTCTTCGTCCATCGGCGCCAAGTCTTGCTCAAGCTTCATCGCCATGCGGTCCATCGCTCCAAAGCCTCTAACTTGCCCTTCACGCTTGCAACCGGTCCATCAAGCCAAGTCATGTCTTGATCTTCTCCACCTTGATCACATAACTCAATGTCATGTCTCATGTGCAATGAGCTCCTTTATCATCACATGTGTGAGCTTTGCAACATCTCCGAGCCATTTCCACCTCCATAGCATATGTTGCTCACACACATGTACCTGTGGACTAATCACATGTGTATCTCACATAAACACAATTAGTCCACCTAGGTTGTCACTCAATTACCAAAACCAAACAAGGACCTTTCAATCTCCCCCTTTTTGGTAATTGATGACAACTCTACAAAGATATGGAAATTAAGCTCTTTTGGATTCATGTTGCTTTCCCAAGTAATCTTACCATGTGTAAATGATTTTGGACAGGTACCACAAACCCAAAATGGTAGTATTAGCTCCCCCTACATATGTGCTAGAGTGTTTGGTTTGAACCTCGCACATATGCAAAGATTGAAATTGTGGGAGAGTAATTACTACCAAATGATGCTAAGGTGTATAGAGTAAACCTTTGAAGCATGATACCAATCAGAGTTGCACCTTTAAGTTCATCCTTAGCACCATGGTTAGCTAGATATCACTTGGAAGTAAAATCACTAGATACCTCGTGAGATCAACATTAAAAGCAAGGTACTAGCATTACTTGAAAAGGATACCAAGTGTCTAGCTATCATCCTATGCATGCTAATTTTCATTTCATCAATCAAATTCTTTAACTAGCATACACTACACAAGCATGCATATTAAATTTAAAAACTTATGCAATGCAAGCAAGCACATGACTATGCACATAACAAATGCAACCAATCAAAGTTCATGAGTTTGCTCCCCCTACTTGTGTGCTTCTCTTGTCCAAGAATTTTGATCCATCTCTTTTCTTCAATGTTGCTCCCTCTTTGTCCATGTCTATGTCCAACCTCTACTTCTTTTCTTTAATGTCTCCCAAAGCTTTCATATCTTTATACACTCTCTCCCCCTTTGTCATCAATTTTCATGAAAGGTGTGCTGCTTATTGATGCAAAGGTTTGCATTTGGGGTAGATGGTTGAGGCTTGAATCTTGCATTTTTTTATGGATACCACTTGTTTGTTGGAATGACACCACTTGTAGCCCTTGAGATACCACACATAGGATCTTCGTCCATGATTCCAATTTGTGGGACACCTCCCCCTATGTCATAACATGGGTCATCTGTTTTCTAAACTTGAACTATTGTAGTTGAGGGATGCATTCTTCATTTGATGATCACTTAAAGTTGAGGATCACTTGTGGAACCATCGTCTTGCATGATTGTGTCGA